ACATAAAATTAATTGCATTCCATCGAGATGTTCGAGATTATGTCACGTCGTCCGGGGCAGGCGTGCGGTTAACGCAATCAGCTGACGCGCCCGGAATGTTCTTCGAATAAAGTTCCAACGTTCAGTCGCGGCATCCGAATAGCCCGTCAATCTGGGAAATATATCGGTCGCAAAAGTGACAGAAAGTTTCCCTTGGAAAACAGACGCTCGGCGATGTAATGTCGCGATAAATTCGATGCGCGCGCTAAATCCCTCGACAGGATTTCGTTGACTTCAATGCAATAAGAAGCTCTTAGATCTTTCGCAGTTTTGATTAAATGTATCTGAAATCTGTATTTGAAGTATCTGGGATATCTTAATCCGTTGAGATTTTCCATCACCGTCAATCGATTTCATTTTTATTACCGCATGTCCGGGTGCGCATCCAGCACACATTTTTAATTACATCAAGATCTCGCGTCACGGGCGTGGAGTTTGCACGTCGATCGTAATGCTAAGCGGATAGATTGACGTAAAGGGATAGCTACGAAAGCGAGAATAGGATTTCCGAATTTCCAGCAATGCGCGTAGACGCTCGGATTCGCGCTCGTTAAGATAATGTTAAGCTTTAAGTGATTAACAAAAGTCGTATCGTACTGGTCTATCCGTGTATACGTCTCCATAGATCTCCAATCGCAGTGGGTCGGTCGTAGCATATAGAGAATCCGAGGCGGCGTTTGCGAACGTAACTGCATGACACGTAATGTAGGACGACATCATTCCGGATAATAATGTATTACACTGCATACTATTTTTAAGAGACTCATTTGGCATCGCTCACTAAATGTTTAAAATGTGCAGAAGAACTGTCGATAGTCGGAAATCGAGAATAAGTAATTTGTTGATTATTTATCTGGATTTCTTTTGTATTTTTTAGTGAGCGAGTAAAAATTTATACAAATAGTGCAAATATACAGCGATGTACATTTCGTACATATTGTATTTGCTGGAAAAAAAAAAAGTATCGGATATCTAGGTAAAGATAGATATAACTGCCGACTTTATTTTTTTGTGTTTTTTGACTTTATTCTTTTTTTTATTATAAACGGTATTTATTATATTTATGACAAGCAAGTTCTATCGTATTTATAAACTTGGATTTGGGGATGATCTGGTATAGATAAAGATAATACATCTCTTTTCAAAAATACATTTTTATTTCTATCAATTTTTACGATATAAAAATAAATTAAACGTAATGACAATATAACGTATGTTTCGTTTTTTGTTATTTCTATTTATATATCTTGAAATTTAAATTATCTTTTGCTGTCTCTCTCTCTCTCTCTCTCTCTCTCTCTCTCTCTCTCTCTCTCTCTCTCTCTCTCT